TGAGAGGGGTGTCATCTTGCCAGCAAGGTCAGGGAGCCTGTTTTCTTTTGAGGAGATCAGAGAGCTAAATAGTGACTTGGCATTCACTGGTTGGAGGCTTCTGGAAAGGGCACAGGATCCTAATGGAGAACTTTGCAAAGGCCTCAACTAATGTGTCAGCTGACCCCACATACTGTAAGCTTTACCTGCTCATCTGTACTATCTCTTTCCAGGGAAAAACAGCCAGAATCTGGAGAACCCAGATGCCCAACCATACTGAACAGAGAGGCTGTGACACTCCCAGGTTCAGCCCCTGCTGGTAGGAGGCTATCCTCTGAGCCTTAAGATGGTTGCAAACTTGGGTACCCTGGAACTCCCCATCCCCCAGACATAGAAAGCCTCCAGATAAAAGATGCCATCTGGGGGCAGGAATCCAACCTGCAAGCTTGATCCTAGTCCTGAAACACTGCTGTCAGTGGACTAGTCCTCCTCTGCTGTGAGGAGGTCGCTGGGCTGAAGAGGCTTGTAGCCACGTCTGGAGACTGCTGTCAGTGGCTCAGGCCAGAGATGCCCAGCAAAGAGCAGATCTGGATCTTCTGCAGCTGGAGTGCTCCTGACCATCCTATCTGAGAGACCACACTGGCTTCAGCATGAACACTCTGACGGTGTTGAGAGGCAGTAACCCTGATAGAAGATTTGCAGAGAGAGCCCAGGAAACCAGGATGCTGGGTGAGAAGGGCCAGAGGAGACCCAGAGAGTGAACAGCAGATGGGTGATAAGCTCCTCCTCTCCTTGAAAAAGAGTAGACAGGGGATGGGGAGGTACCCTGAGCATAGGTGACATCTCTGCTTCCTCTTCCCCCAGGGACCTTGTTTCCCAGGCCTCCAACAAGAATCCATACCACTGAGCTCTGAGGGTCACTTTTTATTTTGGCTCAAGGAAGAACCAAACTTGAGAGCTATATGGGCAGCTCAGAGTCAAAGTGAATGGCTCTGCCATTTCCTAAGATTGTGCTGTTCTCAGAACTTTTCAACTCAGGCCTTCCCTCCCACTGATGAAAACACACTGCCCGTCCTTGCCTCCTCATGTGCGGACACGTCTGTGGCCCCACACCTCCCAGGGGGACCCAGATAACCCCTAACTTGGGACCTTTATTTTTAGTGTTCCACCCTCCTTAAAGCTGCCCCCATCCCGAATGGCCTCCCTCCACCATCTTTGTCCCTCTCCTTGTCCCCGACCCTCTGTTCCAACGTCTAGGCCTCTGCCTGGCCCTCTGCCCCTACTACAGGTGCCCCAGGGACAGTGTTGTATGGTACCACCCTTGTGAGACTCTGGGGCCCTCTGGTTAACCCTTTATTGGGGTTTTTGAAACTTACATACTGTAGAAAGTAAGGAGCACATGACTCACAATAGCCAAAAGGTGAAAACAACCCTAATGTCCACTGACAGCTGAATGGTTAAAATGTGGTCTTTCTGCCATACAGTAACACATCTATCAGCTCAGACTTGGGATTTGTCTATAATCCGATTCTTGTGAGCAGAAAATCCATGTGAATTTGTGGACATCACCTGTTTCATTTGCCCTCAGGTGCCCTTGATTGTAAATTGCATAATTGGGGAAATTTCTTTTGTATGAATAAAAAGAAGATGATATTTCTTTAAAAAAAAAGTGATCTCTCTGTACAATGGAATAGTATTCAGTCATGAAAAGGAAGGAAATTCTTACCTAGGCTACAGCACGGATGAACCTTGGCAACACTGTGCTAAGTGAAATAAGCCAGTCACAAAATGACAAATAGTACATGATTCCGCTTCTGTGAAGTACTCAGAGCAGGCAACATCACAGATACAGAAAGTAGAGTGGCGGATGCTGGGGGCTAGAAAAGGAAGATGGGGAGTTAGTATTTCAAGGGAACAGAGCTTCAGTTGGGGAAGATGAAAAGTTCTGGCGATGATGATGGTGATGGCTGCACCATACTGTAAATGTACTTAAAGCCATTGAGTTGTACACTCAAAGATGGTTAAATGATAAATTTAATGTTACGTATATTTTATCACAATGAAAAAACTTTTTAGTCAATGTGAAAAAGAAAAGTATGGAGGAGCATGAAGGGCCCTGGAAGAAAGGGGGGTGTCTCTGCTTTGGGGCACCTCTCTCTAGGACACCAATTTTGTTCATAAACAGCCTTTTGGAGAAATTCTTCTACCTTTCCAGGACATTCTCTACTATGACCACAGTGTAAACAAAAGACCAAATCCAAGAAAATAGAATCTCTCCTCCGTTGAATCCTTGTGGCCTCTTTTCTCCTTCCCGGCACAAGTATTTGGATCTGAAGAGCTGATAGAAGGAGATTTCAAGATGCTGTTTTACTTGACACATCATTCATTTTCTGTTTATATGACACTTTACAGAGAACAAAATCCTTTCCCGTCCATGTGTTCACTTCACCAATCATGTGAGCTAAGCCAGGTGGGTCTTTCATTTTCAGTGGAGGAAACAGGCTTGGAGTGTTTCAGTGACATGTCTGGGTCACGGGGCTGGGGAACCACAGAGCTGGGAGCAGAGCCTGGTACCAGGTCCACTCCTCTGCTTTGTTCATGGAGCTGCCTCAGATCCAACTAAGGCAGAGTCACCCCCTGGACCAAGATAGGTTCTTGGGGCCCCTCTCGCTGGTTCTGCCCTCATCTGGTCCTAGACAAGTTTCAGGAGCCAGGAGTGACATTGTGCCTCACACTTCTGTGTCACTGGCAATTCAGAAATTGTGAAGGTATGAGTCACTTTTATATTTGGCAGCTGCTTTCAACAGACGAATTGCAATTGTGCAAAAGTATATTACAACAGGATGGGAGCCAATATTTGCAAGTCATTTATCTGATAAGGGCTTGATTCCAGAATATTGCAAGAACTCTTATAACTCAACAATAAAAAGACAAAATTTTAATTCTGCCCCAATTTTAAAATGGCGGAGGTTTTGAATAGCCATTTCTTCAAAGAAGATACATGAATGGCCACTAAAAACACATGAAAAGATGCCCAGTGTCATTTGCCATCAGGGAAAAGCAAACCAGACCCACAGAGAGACACCACTTCACACCCACTAGCATGGCTACAACAGAAAAGACAGATAATAACAACGGTTGACAAGGATGTGGAGAAACTGGAACCCTCACACCCTGCTGGTGGGAATGTAAAATGGTGCAGACCCTGTGGAAAACGGTGGTGAGTCCTCAGAAGGTTAAATAGAGAGTTAGCACATGACCCAGCAATTCCACTCCCGGGTGTACAGCCAGGAAAAATGAACACCTATGTTCACAGCAGCATTATTCATAATAGCCAACAAGTGGAAACGACTCAAATGCCCATCAAGTGATGAACGGAGAGACAAAATGTGGTTTGCTCATACAGTGAAATATTATTTGCTGTTAAAAGCATAAAGTAGTGACACATGCTAGTTCATGGATGGACCCTGAAGACATTGTGCCAAGTGAAAGGAGGAGGGGGGCGCAAAGGGGCGTGGGGATTAGGGAGTGATGGCTAGTGATGACAGGGTTTCTTTTTAGGCTGTTGGAAACGTTCCAAAATTAGATTACAGTGATGGTGGTAGAACTCTGTGAATTTACTGTACACTTATTAAACTGTACGCTTCAAATGGATACATTTTATATGTATGAAATTTATCTCAATAAAGCCATAAAACAGCATTTTTGTTTTATAAACATCTGGGGGAAATTTCAACTCTATCTACTGGATGGTGTTTGGGAATTGTCAATTTGTGGGGAGTGATAACGGTATTATTGGATGGGTTTCACAAGTCCGTATCTGCTATAAATGGAAAATGCTTTTCAGAGAAATCTGTGAGGTCCAGATGCTGACATCTGCGTGGGATCTCCCCCTTACCCCCATCTCCTGGGGTAACCCAGGGCCCAAATAACCAGAGTTGGGCTCACCCTGCCCCTACATGGGTGAGCACAGGGCAAACCCAGAAAAGATGGTGACACTCAGACTGCCCCATGGGGAAGAGCTGCACACAAAGGAGAAAGATTATCGTCTTAGATGGAGTAGCCGATTGCAAGTTAGGTCAACGTTTTGTGTTGAGATCCTCTGGTAGAACCACGCATGAGCAAAGGGGATGGGAGAATCCAACATCTGAGAAAGTGAGTGCTGACTTGCAAATGCGGCTGAGTGTCCAGGGGCCTTTGATCTGGACTCCAGACCCCAACGGGCACTCCTTGCCAGGAGCTGAGCCTTACCTACCAAAGGAAAACTGGGCTGGGGGAGGCGAGGCAGCATCACAGGCCAGATAACCTTTTGGGAAGGAGTGATATTCAGAGTGGTGATTTTGTAACATTTATTCAAGGTCCACAGTTGAACAAAAACATTTAAGATTCAGCAGTTACTAATGTTATAATCAGAAGACAGAAAACACAAGCACACAGGTTCTTCAAAACATATCAAGTTAAAAAAGCTCTTATTTAAGGGAGAGTTCCTGTCCCAACTCTGAGAAAAGTGGAAATCTGTGTTCCTTTGTTTTTAGGAGAAATCTTCTTTGACTAACCAAACTGATTCAATAGGGGGATGTGGTCGGCTAAATTGCAGTCCCCCCACAGATGCCACATTCTCATCCCTGGGACCTGTGAATGTATTGTATTATATGGCAAAAGGGATTTTGTAGATGTGGTTAAGAATCTAGGGATGGGGAGATATCCTGGACTATCTGGGTGGGCCCAATATAATCATAAAGGTCCTCATAAGGGGGAGGCAGGAGGGCAGAGTCAGAAGAGAAGATGATGTGATGAGAGGCTGGAGGGATGCACTTTGAAGATGGAGGAAGGGGCCACAAACCAACGAACACCAGTAGCTGCTAGCAGCTGGAAAAAGGCAAGGAAACAGATTCACCCCTCAGAGCTTCCAGAAGAAACCAGCCTGGCTGACACCTTGATTTCTGCTCAGTGAAACTGATATCAGACTTCTGACTTCCAGAACTATAAGAGAAGATATTTGTATTGTTTTATTTTTATATATTTTTTAATGGAGGCACTGGGGATTGAACCCAGGACCTCATGCATGCCAAACACGTGCTCTACCACTGAGCTATACTCTGCTCCCTGCCCTCTGCTGTGTTTGTGTTGTTTTTAAGCCACTAAGTGGTCATCTGTTACAGCACAGATAGGAAACTAATACAAAGTATGATTAGAGAAGTTCTTAAAAAAGCAACAGTGAAATTGGCCTGGGAAAAAAAGGTGGGAACAGAATAAGGAATCAGGAGGCTCTGACCAGTGAGAGGCAGTGACAGGAGGGAGGTAAGGGGCAGGCCTAACAATGACGATAAATTCTTCTTACATTTAACACAGTCGCTGGGAAAGGGACAGCGGATTAGTCTAAAGTGCCACCAAAAACTATAAAGCACCACTGGGTCTAAGTTAAAAAAGCTCTTATTTAAGGGAGAGTTCCTGTCTTCACTCACCACTGAGTCCACTAAGTCTCTCTCTGTCCAAAAGCCAAGAGGTTTTGTCTGCTGCATTCAACAGACTGCCACCAGGATCTGATTCAGGCAGGAATGGGTCCTGAGGGTGGAGCAGAGCGCCTTGACTCTTCAATTACTCGACACCTGTTTTTTTCCACTGGGTGTGGGCAAAGCCTAAAAGCTAAAATGGTGGAAAACCAAGCTTCTCAGCCTTAAATAGCTTCTAATCCATACGGCACTGTTCCCCACCCCTTGCACTGCTGACATTTTGGTGGAGATGATTCTATTTGGAGGCTGTCCTGTGCACCCCAGGATGTTTGGCTGCATCCTTGGTCTTTATCCAGTAGAGGCCAGGGGTTCCCCTCCCTTCCCCCAAGTCATAGCCACCAACGATGTTTTCGGGCATTGTCTAATGCCCTCTGGGGGGCAAATCTGCTCCCAGGTTGAGTGCCATAGGTGTGCAGAGTGGAGCAGGGGGCTCATGACACAAGGTGACATCCATGTCTGACTAGAGAAGGCTCTGTGGAGCTGACAACTCTTTTGAGAGCTGGGAGGTGGGGAGGGAGAAGGGGTGGCGGGTCCTAAGGGCAAAGGGAACAGTGTGTGCAAAGACTCGGGGGTCAAGGATGCACACATGTGCCCTTATCCCTCTGCAGTGGCAGGAACCTGAGATTCTTGGGGGACACACAATAGCATAGGCCACAGCCCTGAGGTGACTGCAATCACTCAAGAATACTGATGCTTTAGAAAGAACATGACCTGCTCCTGTTTTGTTTGAGGTAGAGCACCGTCCACCAAGAGTCTTCTCTAAACTGGGAGATCGGCTGGCTTGCCCAGCGCGATGAAGCATTGTCCGCTGAGTGGGTTAAAATGTACATTTTGAGAGAATGAGGGGGTGGGATTAGAAGATCCCTCAGGCCTAGTTCTAGGACTCAAAACATTTGAGATAAAACCTTTTGTCATTTTCAGAAACTGCACTGAGGTCTCTCTTACACAGCATAAAATTGATGGATATTTCAATGATTTTTAGCACACGTACTGAAATGACTCCATTTTAGAACATTTTCATCACCTGAATCATTTTGTTATTCTTCAAGCTACTGGCCTGAGGGAGCAAGGAGGGTAGTAAGGATTCCCTTTGCTGTGTCCTTAGTGGTCTACACCCATATCCACTACTTCTTTTTTTTTTAACTTTTTGGTAGTGGTTGCACAATGTGGATCATTTATTCACTACACTAAGCCCTGAGACCTCCGAACAGCCGATTTTCACCCTGGTATCTCCTTTGTGATGAGGGGTGGCTCTGCTGTTTGCTTCTTGTTACCTTTTCTCTATAGCTACAGGTCGGGGTGCAGAAGCTGGGATTTTCTTGTCCCCCAATCAAAGGTGCTCTGATATAAAAAGATCCCTCAGAGTGTGTGTGTGTGTTTGTATTTATTTTGGTGAAAGCACTGTCTACTACCCCTCTCCTCACAAAAGGAATGACCACACTGCCACTTCATGTGTCCTGTGTCACAAAAAGCCAGGAACCACGGGAAGAATATTAGGGGATTTATATTCCAATGAACTTCTGCCTTGAAGTGCACATGGATCACTCATCTTTATTAAAGGAGTGTGCGTGTGATAAAGATTGTCTGGTACGAGGGCAAGTGCATAACTCTATACAGAACTTATCCTTGGACATATTTAGAGGATAAAGGAAGCAGCGTGGGGGAGCTTTGACATCTAAGCACTGGGGACACCTGCGGGGTCGTCCTGGTTTTCCCTCAGCAGTGACTCCCTGCTCTCCAACAGACACCCTGGTGCTCTCTGACCCAGCGCCCACACCTGCCACCTCTTCTCCATCACTGCAGTCGCCACATCCCCGTGTGTGGTGACATCCCTGTCAGCATCTTCCGGCCTCCTCACCAGCCCCAGGGGTGCCAACCACCCCTCAGGGGACCTCTTGCTTTCCTTGTAAGTCACGCAGACAGGTTTTGTGATTTACATGCAAGTCAGGGGGAGGGCGAGGCCGGTACCTTCCTTCTGATGGGAGAGCACGTGGCCCCCGCAGTCAGTCCCCGTGGTGCAGCCGGTGGTGCTGGTGGAGGTTGGAGCTCTGGCGAAAGCTTTTCCCACACTGGCCGCACTGGTAGGGCTTCTCCCCAGTGTGAATCCTCTGGTGGAGCTTCAGGGTGGACTGGCGCCCGAAGCAGTTCCCACACTCCCCGCATGTGTAGGGCCGCTCGCCTGTGTGGACCCGCTTGTGTCTCTTCAGCTCGGAATTCCACGTGAAGCTTTTCCCACAGTCCTCACATTTGTACGGTTTCTTGGCCGAGCGGGTGGCCTGGTGGCTGCGACGTTGCAAACGGCCGCTCAGGCTTCTCTTGCCACCCTTGCTTTTCTTCAGTTCTCTCAGGGGGTGGCTCTTCAGGGGGCTGCTGACGTACTCCAGCTCCCTGCAACGCCTCCGGCAGGGGGCAAATGACTTCTGAGCGTTCGGGGGGCTGCCTTGCCGCCGGGACAAGCGGGGCTCGTTCCCGTCCGCCCCTCTGGGTTTGGGGCTCCGAGGACCACTCCCCTTGGATCTTCCCACGGACACCACACCCGGCTCTGCTCCATTCGCCCCCTCTGGCCGTGGATTTTCCTTGTTGTCATTTTTCATTCTGGGGGCCTCTATAATTAGAAAGGATATGTTTCATTTCCAGGCTTCGAAGAAAGCACCGCAGCAAAAGAGTTATGAAATACACCGTGAAGTTCCTTCAAGTGTGGTTCTCCACTTGGCGACTCACTTTAGACTAACTAGGGGCACCTGTCAGACAAGTAGGGGGCCCCATTCCCCCAAGACTGCTAAGCCAGGATCTCTGGCGGTGGGACCTGGAAGTCTGCAGTTAACAGGGGGAAATCCTGGGGGGGATTCTGATTTATATTCAAGTTAGGAACC